CCCCCCCATCCCAATCCTTCTCCTTTCCCCCTCCCCCCCACCCTCTTTCTCCCCCCCCACCGACAATATTTAATCTTATTTTAAAAATATTTTGAACATTATTTTTATTTAGTTAACAGAGATAAGTCTAAAAATATTACTGCCCAGAAATCAAGTAGCAGTTTAATCTTTTTACGAGAACGGATTATATCCTTGCAACAACAAAACAATGTACTTCAGAATGCCAAAAAAGCAGCAGAATTGTCTGTGAAAGAATACAAAGAAGTCAATGAAAAGCTCCTCCATCAACAGCAAATATCTGATCAACGATTTCAAACAAGCAGACAGACAATAAAGGTAAAAGAAACTTTAAATTATACTACACTGTGTTTATTTGTGGACATTTGATTTTACATGAGCTATTTAGTTCAAATTGTGTTCAACATGTTTCAATCTAAAAAGTAAGTCTTAGGTGCTACTCTGGATTTGGATAATATTACTTCATTAGAACTTTGAGTTACTAGATCTCTTTAATAAAGTGCATATTAAGGGATAAATCTAGGAGAAGGAGCTCAAAAGACTTCACCAGCATTTTATTTCATTTTTTAAAGCATTGTGTTCCATATTTTTAATATTTAATTGTGAAAAGTAGGTTTTATAAGTGAATTTAGCTTAGTCCTTTGTACATGTCTGTAATTTTGTTTATGATTATCAATTACATTATTAAACTAATTTACTCTTTACAAATACTAGCATAAAATATGAAGCTTTTATTATGAATATCTTTTTTGTGTGTTCTGGTATGGAGGATTGAACTTAGAGCCTTGTGCTCTTGCTCAGTTTTTTCACTCCAGTGGTGCTCTGCAACTTAATGCATGCTTCCAGTCCAGCTCTTTTGCTAATTAATTGGAGATAGTTTCACAGACTTTTCTGCTATACTCTTCAGATCTGTCTCCTGAAAGCTTGGATTATAGGCGTGAGCCACTGGTGCCCAGCTACAGACATCAATCTTAATATGTAATAATAAACTACTATCTTTTAACTGTTGATTTGAGTGTTCTTTAATAATTTTAGACACATTATAATATAATCTTACCTATTAAAAGAAAATGAAAAAGGAAAGATTGTTTCTTCATTCTTTCTTAGTGTGAAGTTCCTTAGCTATATACATTATAAGGAAAAGGAAAATTGTATGCCAGGGATTTAAGTAGAAATCTGAATAAGACATATATTTTATTTTTAAATTCTTAACAATTTTACTTCTTTTTCTGACAACAAAACCCACATTTGTATCAGAGATACTGATAGTAATAAAGTAATAATTGTGTAATATAATATATTCTTTGATTAATACGTGGTTCATGAGCATTTTAGAGAGTATATGATATAAATGATCCAATGAGTTGCTCTTAGAGGCATTTCTTCCTGAATGCAATATAGAAAGCTACCCTCCCTGCCAACATTAAGTTTTAGCTGTTTCAGACCTCATCTAATACAAGGTGAATGTCATATATTTACCATAACACCACAGTTTTATACTTTATATTTAATTATATTTATGATTTATTTATAATTATTGCTCTTATAATGTGTAGGTTATTACAACTTACAACTTAAATGTAAATATACTTTTGATACATATTAGTTTTAGATATTAGAAAGGTTCAGGTTCAATACCATCTGACTAAGGAAGTATTCTGGAAAAGATATGAGTAAAAATTTGTGCACTTCCTATAGTCATACTGATTCCTGAGCCTGACATCTGGAAGATGATGATTAGAGGCCATTCTAGGCAAAAGTATTCACTAGATTTCATCCCCACAATAGCCATCATAAAGGTCAGGATAGAGATTTGGTGCCAGTAGTAGAGCACAAACCTAAAAGGATGAGGCCCTCTGTTCAATCCTAGGTAATAACAAAAATTATTTAGAGATTTATTAATGCATAAATGGCTAATGAACTCAAATATAGTTAGTGAGGAACTCAAGTGAGATTTCAATTGTACATTTTATACTGTGGGGTTACCGAGATAGTAACCAAACTTAAAAGTCTCTACTAACAAAGTAACCTCTTGTGCAAGGTTACATGGATAAGCACAGACTTCTTTAGTCAGTGCTTTAGTTTTCGATTTTCTGTTGGCTTCTTATGATAACTTTGCAAAAAGTATTGTCCCTTATGTTATGTCATATAAATAGGATAAAATAATAAATTAAATAAAAAGAATAAAAGTGAGTATTTAAATAAGTAGTCCAAGGTTCCTAAATCCTTCTATATATCTAAGGTGGCATTTTATATGATTTTGAGTTTAATAGTCTCTTTGTGTGTGTGTGTGTGTGTGTGTGTGTGTGTGTGTGTGTGTGTGTGTACCCAGTACTATGCCTTGAGCTCTACACTTTACACTGTGCTAGATTTTCTTGCTTGTGGCTGACACTCCTATCCTTGAGCAGCACTTCCAGCTTTGTGTTTTGTTGGTTAATTGGAGGTGTAGTTTCTTGGACTTCTTTGCCTGAATTGTCTTCAAACTGCAGTCGTTCAGGTATCATTCTTCCGGCTAGCTAGGGTTACAAGTCCTAGCCACCAATGCTTGGTTTCTGAACTTAACATTTTAAAAGAAATTCTGTTGCTTCTAATAGATAATAGGCTTATGAATAAAAAAGTCATATATCAGTCAGGTGCCAATGGCTCATGCCTGTAATCCTAACTACTCAGGAGGCTGAGATCCGAGTATCATGGTTCAAAACCACCTCCGGTAAGAAAGTCCGTGATACTCTTATCTACAATTAACCACTAGAAAACCAGAAATGGCGTTGCGGGTTCAAGTGGTAGAGTGCTCACCTTGAGCTGAAGAGCCCAGGGACAGTGCCCGCCAGGCTGAGTTCAAGCCCCATGATCAACAACAACAAAAAATCATATATCACATTTTTGATAATTTTCAGATGCTAGCATAATTGAGATCATAGTATAATTTTCATTACATGGAAAAAGATTGATTTACTGACTAGTTTCATTCACGATAAGGAATTGAACCTATCAATATCATCTAAGGAGCTCAATAAAAATTGGCAAATCCTTTCATAGGTTATATAGTGTCCTAAATATATTGGTGCTTTGGACTTAATGTAAAGGTTAGTAGCCTTGTGGTGGTGTACTTTCAAGGAGACTGAAAAATATCATTTCCTGTTGGTCATAGACTGAAAGGCTTATGCCATTTATTTATATTACTTTTCTAGTACTCAGAGGATTTTAATTTCTGAATCTTGACTTGCACAATGGTCATATATTTCCAAAGGAAGAAGGTTATCTTTTTAGTCTCAGAAATAATATACTTCTCTATGTTAATAATATGATAATCTTATCGAGCTATAATTGTTGTTTCCAGAAGGGAGAATGACAATATTTCTAAAATTTATAGTAGAGATGATTTATAAGCAGTATTGTAGAGAACTAGACTTTTACCCTAGATTATTCTTGCCAAGTAGCCTTTGGTCTTCTTCATGTTAAGTGCTTGGCAACACATAGAATGTCAGAATGATCCCAAGACTCAAATATAATCTTTGAACATAAATTTTATAAACATACACCATTGTTTATTTTGTGATTAGACACCAGTGTCTGATTTCTTCATGAATTCTTGACTCCTCTACTCTCTTGAGTCACATACAGTTTTGGAGCAACCTGTTTTGTTCTCAGAAACATTTTTGGAAAAACAATCTAAAATGTAAAACAGTTTTTCTTTTATAGACTTTGATTTTTCAAGTTTGTTTCATCTCTTGTCCAACTATTTTAGCCAATTAATCTCAAATTATGTCAGTGAAATTCTAAATCAAAGACTTTGACTAAGTGGAAGAATTGTGAATTAAGTACTACAGAGCATACTCTATTCAACAATTGCCTTAAGGTTTTAGATTAATCTAGCGCAAAAACAAAACTGGCTCTTTAGTTCATTTTTTCAACCTTTTAATTCTACAAGGGTCATGTTTTAGTTATTTATTTATATATTCATTATTAAGTTCTTGTACAAAGAAGTTACAATTCCACAAGCCAGGTTATGCGTGCAAAGCTTCTTCATCAATGTCACCCTTCCAATTGTCCTCTTTTTTTCTCTCTCTCCTGGCCCTATCCTCGAGTTATGTAGCTCATTTTTTATATAATGTATATTGAATACAGTGACTGCATTTACTCATCTTTCCTTCCTCCTTTCCCATGCCCTCCTTTTTCCCTCCCTCTAAACATATTTCCAATTTAAAAGGGTTATATTAATTAATCTGCATAATAAGTTTCATATATTTAGACTTATATGATTGCTTTGTATCCTAAAATGGTAGTTGTGTTTGGTTAATAAGTGTGTTTAACTGTATTGGAGCCACATTTTTCTGTCTGGAATTACAGAATTTTAAACAGCCTCATTTTCATTGTGATCTGTGTAACACATTTCTAGTAATGACAAAGTAGAAAACCATTCTTATTCTTCATTGCTAGTCTCCAAAGTTTTCTTTTACCTTCCCCCAATAGTTTGTATAGTACACAATCCTTGTAGGGTATTCAGTTTATATATGTCAGATTCTCTAGGGCCATGGCTTTTGCCAGATGAAGCACTTTTGATTTTGAAGCTGATGAAACACAGTGCGATTATTGATCTGTGCATGACATAGCCTGTCTCTCTCCTGGCAGAGTGTAGCAACATTTATCCAGGAATTTGTGAAATGTCACTCGGATCATGTTCGCAAGGTAAACTGTGCAAAATCCAGGATCTGAGCTGAGAATCCATGTGGAATTAGACGTGACTGTCTTATTTCTACATGTGATCTTCTAGATGAACCAAGTGATATTTGTTAACAGAATGTCTCGGTCCTATATTACACTTTGTTAGGAAATATTATTATTACGTAGAGCACTGGGTACTAGAATATCATGCTTCTTAAATCAGATTCACTTCTATTTCCAGATTTACTTCTAATCTTACTGTAGAAAATATTAAGAAGAAAACACAGCCTAAATAGAAACCACTTTTCTGTTTATAATAAGGTCTTATATTTCAGTAATATTTTATTCTTTGTATCAATATACTTTCAAGGAGGTATTCTCATTAAAATGTGTCTGGAAGTGACAAATTATTAACATTTTTCTCACTATTGAATTCTAATATTTAACATTTCAGGGTTTAGTTTTAAATGGCGAGGATGTTTGTTTATACATGAATAGATGTGTTTATATTTGTTACAGTTCATATTAGTTTAATCTAAAATACTGTAATAATGAATATTCAGTGTTGAATTAAATATGACACCTATATGACACCTTTATAACAATTGTACATGTATACCATGAGATTATGAAAATTTATGTATATATTTATA